ACATATCAACCATTTACAATAACCATTACATGAACCTGTTTCATAATTATAACCATTAAACGTATTGCATCCATCATACCTCATAATTATAACCATTAAACGTATTGCATCCATCATACCATACAAATTCATAACCATTAAGTGAACAAAATCACCCAAAAAAAATGAAACGATTTCATCAGCAATTGTTGCTAAGAAAACAAGATTATCCAAGAACATATTTCGTATCCTAGTAAATTATGCAACAATTTCATAGATAATTTTTTTTTCTCTAAACACGTTTCATTAAGTTACTGCATCCACCATACCATACAAATTCATAACCATTAAGTGAACAAGAGCATAAAAAAAAACACAATTGGATGAAACAATTTCATCAACAATTGTTAACAAGGAAACAAGATTATCCAAATAAATTACATTATGCAACAAGTTCATCCATAAAAGTTTCATTAAACAACTTCATCCATAAACGTGTTCATAAAACAATCGAATACGTTTCATTAAATTGTTTTCCTTTTTTCCAATTAAATTACTGCCCTTTTTCTAACGGAACATATTTTCGTATCCACGTAAATTATGCAACAATTTCATCGATAAAACTTTTGATATATGAACACGTTTCATTAAATTACTGCATCTACCATACCATAGAAATTCATAACCATTAAGTGAACAAGATAACCAAATAAAAAATGAAACAATTTCATCAAACAATTTCTGATTTTAAATTTCAATTTCTTTAATCCGTATAATCCTGAAACTAAATTAAACATATTTAAATTTTAAAAAACTAAATTAAGAAAACAATTAAATCCTACCATATTTAACGTAACCACTTATTATATTTATAAAATTAACAAATTATAATACATTTCATTATTAATCAAAAAACAACTTAAATGACAATTACGCTCTTATTGATTAAAATTAATTAAAAAAATAGAATTTTCTTATTGGTCGAAATTGGATTACAGGTTTTTAAGAATTGAGCGGTTTTCAATGTAACTCACCCCTCTCTCTCTCTCTCTCTCTCTCTCTATATATATATATATATATATATATATATATATTATTTAATATATCCTTTATTTATGGGTTTTTTTCATCATATCATGAGTTCCTTCCATATGGTTCATGGAATGACTCATGAAATGAGAATATGTAATCACATGTGGTTCGTGTGTTTGAGGATGAAACTGAAATTGGTTCATGAGTCTGCTAAAATTGTTTTTAATTTTTTTAAAACTGTTTCATCGGTTGTTCATAACATTGATTCATGATATGTGTTCATCGGTGAACATTAATTCATGACCTGTATCATGACATGTTTCATCACCTGTATCATGACATGTTTCATCATTGAACATTGATTCATAGCACAAGTTTGTTTCATAAACCGTTTAATGACTTGTTTCACCAATGACACTTGACACCGGAATTGTCAATCGAACCCGCCATTGATGAACACCTGTGAAAGAAACTAACAAGATGATCGATGTGGAAGAACTATTTAGAAACGAAAAATATATATAGTTTGATCAGAAAAACAGTTACAAAAATTAATATTATACACAATAAAAGGATTATTAAATAAGAGATAACTACCACATGTAAAAAAATAAGGGAGTTGTTAGTTGTCTTATTTAACCGCCAACATTAAAATGATGAAAGAACCCTTAAGGTTAATATAAATATATATATATATATATATATATATATATATATTGATAAATGCTTAAATTATTATATTTTTTATTATCAAATTACCCGGAAATTAGTGAGTTTTTTCAAAATAATACAACACTTATCTATTATTTGTGATTTGGGTTGGTTCTGTTTTAAATATATATAAACTTTAAGATCCATTATAATTGTGGATTGGTTTATTATATGCAGCCCAAGAGGATGAGGCCCATTTCAGTTAAAAGAGAAAAGCAAAAGGGGGCTAAACCCAAGCCCATCTCTAGTCCACATCCTTGTACGCACACAACAGCCTCCACTCTCGTTCAGCAGCGATGTGGGACAGCTAGCTCCCGTATCCAGCGAGTTCCTCTTTTCTATCCAACGAGCGGTAAGCCACGACCCACGTTCTATTTTCTGCGTTCAAAATCAGCGGGTATAAAGGGTTGGCAGAAACCGTCGATTGGGGGGATACATGGACAGAAATCGAAATTGAGGGCAAGGAGCAAAGGAGAAACGATTTTGGGGGAAGAACATCTCACCCAATTTCACCCAATTTCTTTCAATTTCTTAGGTATTTTTCTTAATTATTGCAATTGGTAATCTAGGTTTAGCCATGTGTGGCTAAACCCTTTTCTTTCCAACATTAGTTGCTTAGATTTTGATTGTGGTTACTTTGAGACTCCATTGTAATCGTTTGGGATGAAATTATATGTTTGATTTCCATTTTAATGTCAATTTCATTTTGAGTATTGAATAATCTGGCCAATTTATTGGTGTTCTTATGAAATAGTGTTATTCAAAAATTGAGATACGTAATCGTCTTTACATTTTGATAAAGTAACAATTAAATCTATTTGGTTTCGTTGAGGTTTTCGAATTAGATTTTTGAAATCTTGCATCCAAAGCCTCATTAAGCCGAGCTTATGAGCTTATGGCTTTGAGTTGATGTTTTTCTAGTCCTATAAAGCTAATTGCACATTTTTAGACTTGAGAGCTTATTTAACGTCTTAATTGCGATTAAGATCCGGCTAAAGAGCTTGTTTTAGCCGGTGTTTCTTAAGAAAAAAACATAGGTCGTTAGAGTTTATTAACGACTATAATCAACTTGGTTTTATTCATTACGTTTATGTTATTGGAATCGATGATTAGTACCACCGTCTTAATCAAAAGTGACTAATGTTGGGTTTTTATTTATTTGCTTTAAGTCAGATTTTAATTATATGCTTAGCTTAATTAATCAAATCCAAACCCCCCCCCCCCTTCGTATTTACTTTTATTTACTCAACTTGTACTTGATTAGTTTGGTTATAATAAGTTGAAACCGAGTCTCTGTGGAATCGAACCGACTTACCGCTATTACAATTTTGGTTGTAATTTGCCGTAGTTGGAACTTATTATTTGTCGGACTCGGCATCCGTATATATATATATATATATATATAAATTTTTGATTGGTTGATTTCGGTTTATACGCAATAGGGATGGTTTCCAAAAGATAACTCCCATACATATTATAGCTAATTACATAGTTGGCTCCTATAATTTCACGGTTTTTACAAAAATAAGGAAAAACAATAAAATTGTTGCAAAAAGTGTGGAAAAACATGGATGAACGATTTTACCGCTAGATCTAACAGAGATTTTTAACGAGTTAGTGATGAATCTCATTCTCAAAGCAAAATCCAAACCTGAGAGACGACATGTTGGCTTATTAAAGTTCAGTTACCACTTTCAAAAAAATTACTAAACTTCAGGGACGAAAAGTGAAGTTTAACTCAATTTTTGATTTTATGATTTTTGATGTACATGGTTTGATTAAGTAGAAAAACAAAATAATCGATAAAAGGACGAACATATTCCCCATTTAACTAAATTTTTAATGATTGTAGAGACAGAGATCAAATCCAAATGTTTTATAAATTACGATAACTATTTTATAATTTTAAAACTCTAAGGACTAAAAGTGTTTACTTTGACAAACAAATAGACCAAATTTTAAATTATAGCGTTAACATAATTTGTCTTAATAGGAAGGTTTGAAAACTACACGTCATTTATGAGATTGATGTCTCTATCCAGACAAGGAAATGATTAAATCAACATTGTCATGTAACTTTTACTAGATAATTTATATTATTATAAAGTATTTTATAAAAACTTTTAAAAATATTTTAATATATAAAGTACTATTTATTGATACATGTTATTTAACATTTAAGATTACAAATAAATTATGCATAAGCATAACTTATTAAAACTCTATGTTTAGATTCGTATAACTAACTGTAGATAGATATAATCAAATACAAGATAAACTTTTCATTTTTAATGTGAAAAAAATAGTTAGGATAATCATTAAGTTCTAACAGAATACTTAATTATTATTTTCATAAAAAATTATATTATTAAATCAAGAACAAATTATTTCGTTATTAAACTTATATTAAATTATAATAATAAAAATTAAATTAAAAAAATTTACACAAAAAACGAGAACTCTTATATATTTTCAAATATTTATAACATTTTCAAAAGATATTATATTTTATTCTAACAATAAAAACATTATCGTTTTTTTAAACCATATAAAACAGTATTATAACATCGACAAAGACAAATAATAAAATAAAATATTAAAATCGAGATGTATCTTGTTAAATATAACTAATATAATGTGGTGTTTTTGAATAATGGTTTTTTTTTTATTAACCTGGATATCCAACCCGCTATGCGAGCCGGCTAATCCCAGGACGACCATCTGCTTTGCAGATAGCCCGGAGTCACCGCATTTGAACCATAATGGCCACAAGGGGATTTTTATTCCTCCTTGGATTTGAACTTGAGACTTCCTGGTACTTTTGACCTTTAAAGTCAAGCTCAAACTAATCAGGCATCACCCTTATGGTTGAATAATGGTTTTTAGAAATAAGGATTAAATCAAAAGTAAATTTTATTTTCATCCATATATTTATGTCATGATGGAAGGTGTTATCAGTTAATATTAATAGCATACTGAAATATTTAAAGATTGTTTAATTCATTAAAATAGTTTATTATAGACCTTGAAATAAAACTTTTGAAATATGGTTTACGAAATAATACATAATCGAATCAAATTATTATCAGTTTTCGTAGGTTTTTACAAAATAAACCATAGTATTTTTTTTTTGATCTAATTAATAATATTTTGATTGAATCAACATATTTGAGATCAATAAGAAGAAACATTATAAAGACATAAGAAACATGAATATGTATTTATATTTTGAGGATATATATATATAGTTGCTACGACAATAGTTCTTAAAGTTAACTCTATCGAAGCCACCACGTCCCTTCATTTCTTGTATCACTTGTAGAACAGAAATCAAAAACCAACAGTTCGTGCCCAAACTCGGAAACAGCTCTAGCTGGCGCCACCAAACTATCTCGACACAAGGGGCAGGTTCTATTCCTAAACCCTAGCCATCGATCCAAACAAGCCTCATGAAACAAATGACCACATCTCAGCTCTTTCATCTCGTCATCTTCTCCTATCGTACTCAAGCAAACCACGCATTCCACTTGTTCCATAGACGTGGGTTCGAACCCTAATTGGCTAGACTCGAACCCTTGTGAAACCCCATGAAGTTGATGGTGAAAAAAGGATCGGTGTAGAAGAAAACTCCACGCCCATCTCAGATTCAAGACAACAAGCTTCATATAGGATCCAATCAGATCCGTAAGGATGCAAATGGAGATATAAAGAAGGTCTAAAGATGAAGAAGGTGTGAAGCTTTGTATGATCATCATTTTGGAGGGGTTTTAGACAAATCAATTTGCTTCCCATCTTAGTCTATTTATAGGGAAGAATAGAAATTTGGTTAATTTGTGACTTTTTTTTTATTATCAATTTTTTTTTAATATTTATGATTAATTTGAGATGACGGTTTGAAATTTCGAATTCAAGAATTAAAAAATCAATAATTTGTATTAAATACTGATTAAAATTAATTAATTTAAACGAAATCTTTACTACACAACACGAATTTTGTTTCTCGAAATAAATAGCACATGTTGTAAATGTTTAATTCTTAATTATAATCATGTGGTATCAAGATTTGAATGGTTAATCCCCACTTTTTTCAAATATGGGAAGTATTAAAAAAGAGAACATAAAATAAGATTACTTTGTTCACATGCTACAACTCGCTGTATTAGAGTGACTCAAAACGACTCAATTTCCAACCAAATGTCAACAATGGGTAGCCTCTAAAAATACGTATACAGACATGTATATATACATATATGTATACAGTATATATATATATATATATATTGTATACATGTATAGAGGAGCGATCAAATACAAACCGTTCTAATTTATACAGACCTTACAAATTTTAGAGTTATTTCAATAGTACAAGTTTGAATAATTATTTTAAATTTACTTCTAAGTTTAAATTCAATTTAATGATATAGTTTTATTTCTAAATTTAATTTAATTCTAGGCTTAACTTCATTTTAACTAATTATTGATATAGTTTTGTTTCTAAATTTATGTCTGAAAAGTTATACTTCAGAATTATTTCAAAAGTACAAGTCTAAAGTAGCATCATATTTTCGATGATCATTCATATTTGTAAGATAAGTTCATAACATAATCTAATTTTTTAAATTACCCCGCGTAATACATGTGATTGAACCTAGTATATGTATGTGTGTATATATATATATATATATATATATAAAGAGAGAGAGAAAGATAGAGATGAGCGATCAAATACAAACCGTTCTGAATTTGTACAAACTAATCACGATCAATCATATAAATCAATTTGTTTTTGTTTTAATTTGTAAGGGTAATACGGTTATTTGAATTTACAATAGTTATGTTTGGTAATTATTTAATATTAATAGACTATTTTGATAATAACATAATATTTATATAAATATGGATGATATATTGATTAGCACAATGTTAGCAAAGATTTAATTAAGGTATCATTTAATTTTTTTTTTTGAAAAAAACGGCCACATTTTAGAAAATGTAGAATATTTTTTTTTAAATTGTCGCTAATTTCTAATGAAACAGGCTCAAACCGTTCAATAAAACATGGTCATATATGATTGCATCAGATTCATATGTATAACAGATGTAATGAAACAAATTTATATTTATATGTATGTGTAACAGTTTGTAATGAAACAAATTCATATGTAAACAGTTGTAATAAAATAAGTTCATAGGTCATATATGATTGCATCAGGTTCATATGTATAACAATTGTAATGAAACGAATTCATAGAATATGTTTTTCCCATTTTTCCTTTCCGTGTCTTCAATATGATTTTTTTTTCTTTTACTTTCTTTATTTAGTTTGTTTTAATCTTAGTCTTTCATCAAAAAAAAAAATGGATGGATGTGATTAGTTTGTAAGGTTTGTATGAAATGAATGGTATGCAAAGTAAACCTCCTCTCTCTATATATAATTTAATCGTGGGAGAATAAGAGATGTATGATGAGAACATGAGAACATAACTTTCTGTTATATTAATTGACCTATTTCTATTATCATGACTAAGATTTTAAAAAATTATTATATGATACGTAACTATTATTATGTTTTTGGAGCTTTTTTTATTTGTTTCCAAATTAACAAGACATCTTGGGAACAACTTGTAAATTCTACTTTATTTAATTACTAGAGTAGATTTATATTTTTCTTCTCTATGATTTGTTAAAAATTACGATTCTCATCTCCGTGATTTAAAAATTACAGTTTTAGTTCCTATAATTTGTAATTTATTGTTATTTTCGTTCTTACACTAATTCTTACTTTTTTAAGTACAATAGTTCAAAATAGTAAAGCACTGTAAACCACAAGGATTGAAACATCAATAAATTCATCATAAGAATGAAAATAACGATCATTAACAAAAATATAAGGACAAAAACCGTAATAGATAATACCTAAACTTCAAGGACTAAAATCGCAATCTTTAACGATCCGTATGAACGAAAAATGTATTTTACTCTAATAATTACTTTCAAACTTTTTTAATGCAAGCATAGACCGACCCAATTTTTTTTTTCTTTTTAAATGGAGATATTATTTGACTGTAAGAAAAAAAAAATCAAACGGTAGCACCGTTTGACTATAAAAAATAAATATATTAATTTTTTTTTCAATCAGTGACACCGTTTGATAAGAAAATGACACTAACACGACTTGAACTTGGATCTGGGATGGATAAAAGCCTTGCAAACCAATTATAACAAATAAAACTTGTTCTCATTATAGTTTCAGACACATACAGTAACACACAACAAATTAATACGGTTGCACCTTTCACAAAGCTAAATTTTTTTACCCTTCGACGAAGGAATAATACAATAGCACAAAGTAGGCCCGTCCCTGACTACAAGTACATATATATCCATTTCTCGATTTATAATAATATTTATACAATTGGTCTTAAATAGTTTATGAGCGTCAAATCGGACTTTTGGAATTTTCAAGATTTGTTCACGTTTGACTACGATGGTAATTATTTACCTAAACTTTTGGTACCAAGTATCGTATGACCAAACTCTCTTTTAAAACATATTTCTCCAATTCAACAATTTTTTTCCTGATAATTTAACGAGTAATATAAATATATATAATTTTAGTTTTTTTTAATCTAAATAAGTTTTAATTACTGAAACAACGTAACTGATTTGATGTGTTACCACTTTCCTAAGATCTGTTTGTTTTATTTTATTTTAACAGTACCTTTTTTAAAATTATAGAGAATTGGTGTATTTTGTCGACGTTGGTTTAGTGTTTTGTTCATTTTATTTTTTCTTGTGCCATAGCTTTTTAGCATTGCTAAGATTCACATACTCTCTTTGCAAGCACATTCTCACTCGTTGGTTCTGAGTTCAGTAACCTATTATCCAAATTTATTTATTCATATTTAGGAAATACTGACCTTACATCTTGTTAATATGCCAAATCAGATAACCTCTTAGATTTCTCATCAATGATGTTAAAATAAAGACACAATTTTTCCCGTACTCAAATCCTTCTTTGTTGCGGAAAAGGAGGGACGTGTTACCTATGACCATCATGAGATAGTAAATTATGGTGTTTTATTGGAGGATAAGCGATGCCGGATTTGAACTTGATACCTTGTTATAGAAACTTCATTCTTTTCCACCGGGACAATTCAGTGGAGAAAAATTCATTTTTGTTTATGCCCATGGACACCCCGAACCCCCATTTTACTTAATTTCGTTAGCTGGTCAAGTCAATATACAACGGAGAAGATGATCTGTATCTATTACTTTCTACGATGGAAGAATATAATAATATGTTTTTCTTTGCATCATCAAAGACTTAACCAATCAAAAATCAAATTATTTGTATCCGAGTTGGTCAAATATGTCTTTTTGCTATTCAAAGAAAAAGATAGAAAACATACAGGTAGCAAAAGTCAAAAAAAAAATCAAATTATAAGGTTTTTTAAGATTTATAGTTTCAATGGTGCATAGAAAATTAAAGAAATTGTTTTACGTAGTTGCGTCTATGGATTTATTAATCTTAAAATAAGTTTTAAAAATAACATTCAAAACATTGACAATGTGATATATCATATATTAAATCATTAGTATTAAGCCTTTTGAAATTAAAATTTTCAGATGTTACAAACAATTTAAGTTATTTATACAAAATAAAATTTTATAGAAAAATCAGAAGATTTAAAAGAAAAGCTTAAAAAAGATACTAAATAATACTGAGACATATACAATTTTGTTTATTTATAGCAAGTAATTAATTAATATAAATGAAATATAATTTGTGTTTTCAGGAATGTCTTGTTCCTTTGGACCATGCTGGGTACAAGTTTCCTTAGGGTGCGTTTGCTACGCTGGACAGAGTGGAACAGGACAGGACAGGACAGAACACATTTGTCCTACGTTTGGTATGGCTAAATGTGGAAATAAGTGGAACTAAGTTGGACAAGCATGGGACACGCGTGTTCCACCATTACCCCTGGAACTAAGTGGAACAGAAATATTTTTACCACACTACCCCTTCCCCCTTTCTTCCCCACATCGCACCTTCCATAATCGGCGCCCCTGCACCCTCCATCGCACCCCTAACCTTCTCCTTCTCCATCTCGACGGCGACGGGAGTTCCCTTCTCGACGGCTCCATCGCTTCTCCTCCCCATCGACGCCCCTGCACCTGCACCTGCACCTGCAGAAATCGGCGCCCCTGCACCTGCCAAAGTCCGCCTCCATCGCTTCTCCTCCCCATCGACGGCGACATCCCTCTCTCCATACTCAGGTACACGATTGCTTCATCTCGATTTTGTTGCTAATCGGCTGTTTGCTTGAACCCGAAATCGATTGCTTGAACCGATTTCTTGTTTGCTTGAACCCTAAATTGGCCTTTTCTTAGTTTGAGGAACCCAAACGCACCCTCTGTATTGTTGCTTCCATCTGGTTTGGTTCTAACAGACCCACAAATATTTAATACCAACACTGGTTGTTGAATGGCTCATGAATCCAAATAGGCAGCAAATATAAGGAAATCTCGCACATTGTTAAGAAAGATTGAGTTATCATGTGTAAACAATTTGGTTCTAACAGACCCACAAAAGATTGAGTTATCATGTTAAGAAAGACCTACTGTTTSATTTGTTTCTCATAACAATGTAATCAGCTAAATGCTTAGCTTCAATTGATTTATCTTTTCAAATAAAAATGCTTACTATTTTATGTAGAATAGATGTGTATTGATGAATATAGTTGGAACATTTATATTGATTATTTAGTGAAACAAAACATTAAACAGCTCATTGGGGGTAAATTGGTCATTTTAACCATTTCTGTCATGTCCTGTCCTGTCCTGTTATGTTTTACCAAACGCTGAACAGCTGTCCTGTCCTGTCCTGTCCTGTCATATCCTGTATGCGCACCAAATGCACCCTTATTGATATAAAAGGTATACCAAATTATTGGAAATAAAAAATTAGGACAAATATTCTATATTTAAAATATTAAAAAAATAAATATCAAATTATGTTTTTCGTTTTTATGGTTCGTTAAAAAATTGTGCATTTCGTCTCTGTGGTCTTGAAATTTGGATTTTTATCTCTATGGTTTACAATTCATTTCTATTTTCGTCCATGAAAGGAAAACACTACTTTTAAGTATGAAAAAAAAATAGAAATATATTGTAAATCATAGGAATGAAAAAATCAATAAATTTTACATCATAAGGGATGAAAAAAAATAACGAATTATAAACTATAGAAATGAAAATCGTAATTTCAACAATAAGGATGAAAATAGAAATTTGCAACTAATCATAGGGACTAAAAACGTAATTTACTCAAAAAAAATTAAAAAAAATTGTTATAAACTTTTTAAAGATGGCTTAATTGATATTAGTTTTGTTTTTTATCAAAATCACAACTTTAAGTTAATTTAAAATCGTGCTTACTTAAAATCTCAATAAAACTAATTAAAATATACACAAAGTATTAAGAAATAGACCAAAAGACATTCGGCCTAGCGATATCATAGTCATTCGCCTCCTAGGAGGTCAAGAGTTCAAATTTCACCAAAGGTGAGGATGGTGTGTTAATTTATTTGTTGCATTTGTCGTATATAAATATCATATACTTCAAAAAAAAAGTATTAAGAAATAAAGTAAACTATAAATTTGTGGAAAATAACACTTTTTATCTCTGTTGTTTCGAAATTACAATATGGTCATCATGGTACGTAAAAACCTTGGGATATAGTTCCTCCATCTAACAGTTGTTGAAAAATTCTGTTAAACGAGAGACATTTTTGTCCTTTTGCCGATTTCTTTCTCTTTTATCTAATTAAATTCCACAGGGACCAAAATTCTAGTTTACTCTTTTTGCTTGTTTGTCTTTTTATTTTTGTCTACTTTATAATATTTTAATATTACACACACGCACGCCCACATATATCTATATATATATATAAAGCTTGGTTCAAATACTAACCAATTTTTTGTGTTAATTATTTTAAATAAGTTCAACCAATCATATTCCATCTTTTCATTTGGTTGAAATGTAACTCATATATTAAATACAAGAGTATTTAAGTAATTTGTCATTTTATGTAACTCCCAAATAATTAATTGGGAGTTACAAATCTGAAAATATCACATCTGATCATGATATAATATTGACATTAGGGTTTCACACGTATTCATGTTTTATAATTCACATTTATTTTAATCGACAGCTCTCACCTTTGACATATGAACACATCAGAAATCACACAGCTTTAGATGCCGTGATTCATAAGTGTTCATGTATATTCAAGTCACTAGATGTTCATATGAATACATACACACACACACACAGAGTGAACATGTGAACACGTATAAAAACATACAACCCTAGATGTCTTGGTTCATAGGTGTTCATGTACATACAACAGAGTTGGCTCATGAATATACAGAAGATGTTCTTACGGTTCACGTGTTGTTCATATGTCTAATCTTTTTTGTTTGATGTGGTTTGAAGATATACACAAGTTGTTCATATGTCTGACAACTCGTGTATCAAAGATATATTACTTTTTACCTAAATACCCTTTGATATTTTGTTCACATATGTTAATTGAAAATATTAATTTAATAATTAATTTTTAAATATCATTAAATCACAACTGTTTATTATTCAAATTAACGGTCAAGATCGGTTAACAAAGTTAACACGATAATCTTGATTAGCATTTGAACCTTCCCTTATATATATATATATATATATATATATATATATATATATGATTGGTTTTACGTAAATTCAGTCTGTTTCCATAAGACCTATGAGACCAAATTTGTACACTCGAAACTTTACAACAAAATATTATAAAGGTAAAAAATCTGAATCTTCGCAGCAAAAACACTGTGAAAATCTCTTTCACAGTGTTTTACTGTGAAGTTTTAAGTACAAAAAAAATGATCTTACGGGTATCACAAAAACAGACTGGTCTCACATGATCTCAATACACGGGTATGTACATATTAGTTTTTTATTTAGATGTTAAAAAAATTGATTAACTAATAAAAAGACAAAGTAATCACCCGGTTGGTATTAGATTAAAAAACTATTTAATTCTTTTTATCCGAATCCTATTAACCCCTTCAAATGGTAACTTAAAATAAATAAATAAACTTTAATAAATCAATAAATGAAAAATTATTATTTAAAGTATCAAGATATTTATGTTTTATTAATCATTCCATGTTTTCAAAAATATCATAACTTTAATAATAATAAAAATCAAATAATTTCATGATAAATAGATAATATCGTGTGTTTTCAATTATTTAATATTTTAATAATCAATATATACGTAATATTGTCACATCACAAATATTAGGGCTATGACTATTAAGTATAACAATAAAAATCAATCAAACAATTATACAATGGAAGTCTTAACTGTTGGACGCAGATACTTTACAAATAATACAAATCACAAAACTTAAACTATTACTTTAAACCGAGGGATGTCGGGTCTCTTTCAACTTTCTCCTTGCCTTCAAAGCTACCTGCTATACTCCCTCTAAGAGGTGCATGCTAAAGGGGTGTTTGAGATTGTTTATTTGAAACAACTTATGTTTTTTCTTTACAAAATCACTTATCAACTTATTATAAGTTAGAAAGATTTAGCTTTTTCAAAATCTTCTTATTACCGGTTTGGCACCAGTATAAGTTGTTTATCCAAACACTCAAAAATGCTTATTACCGATGTCACACCGGAATAAATCAATAAGTTGTTTTTATATGCAAACCTAAACATCCTCTAAAAATATCAGCTTACGCCTAATGAATTCATGGTTTTCTTTCATGCTTTCAAAATTCCCTACAAATTCATGGGTATTAAAGAAGGAAATAAACCCTTTTTAGTTCTTGGTAATAAGCCCAACTTCGTGGACGATTTTTATGGAGTGTAGGTTTATCCCACTCGACACTTCTGGCCCCTAATATTTAGGTGACGTTTTTTTTTATTAATAAGTATTGAAGTTTGAAGTTTTATTTCACTTCTGATGTATAAGAGATGATAATGATATCTGAAATCTGAATCAATTAGATTCTTTTGTAAACTGATAAACGTTTAAATTGTCTATTTTACCCATCAAAAAATTATATTGTTGAATTTTATACAATTTCACATATTTATTCATCATTATTACAAAATTTACTTCTAAATTATATGATTAAATTTCATTTAAACGAAAATATGTCATTAACGTATTTAACACATCAATTGAGAGACGTGAGGATTGATTTGGTAAGAATAAATTGAAAAAAATGATTGATTAAGGTTAATCGATTGAGAAACGCCGTTGTTGAGAGAGTTTGAAGAACAATAAGAAGCAAATAAAATGTTGGTTTATCTCTTATCAGATAAAATGACAATAAGACATAAATACTTCTAAAAAAATTGAAAAAAACAAACAGTCTGAATGACCTTACCGTTTTAATGAATTAAACATAAAAAGCTAATAAGAGTTCTTTTATAAAAAAACAAACTAACACCTTATTAAATAATTTTTACTCCTACTATTTCATATTTTCATTTGAAACTTTATTTTTTATTAATTAATCAAACTTATTTAATATTTAACTAAAAACCAATATATATATATATATATATATATATATATATGTGTGTGTGTATGTAGTATTAAAATATCATAAAGAAAGAAAAATAGGAGGACAAAAATTGTCAAAAAGAAGAAACCACGCTTTGGTTTATGTGGTTTTTAATTGGATAAAAGACAAATAAATTGATAGAGAGATGAGACTACTCTTTATTCAACGAAATATTCTAACAGTCGCTAAAAAGGGGATCAGATTATGATATTTTCAAATCACGATAATCATATTATAATTTTAAAGCTACAGGGACAAAAATTATTATTTTCGATAAATCATAACAACCAAATTTATAATTTACTAAAAAAAAATTTATTGTCCATATTTATTTTTTCAAGCTTATGATATTTTCCATTATTGACCTCCAATCCTAAGTAGCATCCATGTCATAAAAAGGGCATTTATTTTTCGTTTATTGGGGCAAACAACATTTATTCTCTTCTATTATTTGGTCTATGTCGAATGGCATAATTAATGAGCTTAAATGATCATCTCTTTCATCTAAATTGGTTTTT